AGAGATTGGATTTATACCCTGCCCTTCACTACCCAAGGGAGTCTCAGAGTGGCTTACAAACTCCTTTCGCTTCCTCTCCCCACAACAGACACCCTGTGAGGTAGGTGGGGCTGAGAGAGCTCTGACAGAAACTGCTCTTTGTCAAGAACAGCTCTGAGAGAACTATGGCTTGCCCAAGGTCATCCAGCAGGTGCAAGTGGAGGAGTGGGGAATCAAAACCCGGTTCTCCCAGATTAGAGTCCAGGCACTTAACCACTACACCAAAATGACACAAGCAACCCCAATTAATGATATTATTTTTTACTCAAAATACAAACAAAAGCAATTGATTCCCAGAAGTGAAAGCAATCGACTTACTGGGAAATCCACAAGAGCCCTAATAAGTGTATTTAACCTTATGCAAGGCTAGTTTTTTCCAAGGGATACCATACCTGCCCCCTAGCCATTTCCTTATATTTCTTGACAGTTTTGACCACACACACCACACACACCTCACTGTCTGCACCTCCACCCCGAGCAGCCTCCTGCCCTCCCTCTCTCTCATCAGTCACTCACGGGCTGGATTAGAGCCCTGGATGGGCCAGTTCTGGCCCCCGGGCCACATGTTTGACACCCCTGGCCTAAGCCCTCCTCAGCCTGCAGTATATCTTGCAGCAGGGAGTTCCCTAAGTTCACTGTGGGGAAAAGAGAAAGAATGGAAAGGATCATATGGGGATGCTCGCAGAAGGCAGGGGGGCTGGGGAGAAGTCACGGCCCCGAGAGTTGCAAAGGGGCCATTGCCCTCAGAGTATCATAGAAGAGAAGCAGATTTTTAACATCTCATTCAGATTAAAAGGTTCCTGATAGAGGACCGCTTTATTTGAGGGTCTTTTGTTTGACACCCCTGGCCTAAGCCCTCCTCAGCCTGCAGTATATCTTGCAGCAGGGAGTTCCCTAAGTTCACTGTGGGGAAAAGAGAAAGAATGGAAAGGATCATATGGGGATGCTCGCAGAAGGCAGGGGGGCTGGGGAGAAGCCAAGGCCCCGAGAGCGGCAAAGGGGCCATTGCCCTCAGAGTATCATAGAAGAGAAGCAGATTTTTAACATCTCATTCAGATTAAAAGGTTCCTAATAGAGGACCGCTTTATTTGAGGGTCTTTACCAACGCTCCCTCTACGCTGTGGAATCTTGTGAGCAAAGATTCTACTTTGTGAGCTACTGACATTAAAAGTTGTGAGCGAGAGATTTGGCTACCGCGTACATTCGTTTGCTCTGGAGCCACCCTTCTTGAGCGGAGACAGAAATCTGAGAGCCGGAGGCTAAAAAACTGAGCTAGTTCACACTGACTCAGCTTAGAGGGAACACTGGTGTTATGTACGTGGACCGCCTCCAGGGGTCCGCGGACAGGCCAGAGCTTGGATCCGAAAACAAAGGACACTTCGGATCCTGGATTCCCCGGCCCCAACCAATAGCCACCTTGGCGGGACATTTAAACCCTCCAATGGGAGTGGGGGGGTTGCTGGTGGATATGTATATAGTTGGCCCTGTTGGCCGTTAGAGTTAGTCTTTGTCTGTGTTAAGTACAATAAATGTGTGCTACAGTATGTCGTCGTCTGAGTCCTCCATGCGGCGAACCCAGTACTTTTCAACTGGTCTTTACCAAATGGCTTGGGGCCATGTGACAGGGCATCTGTTTCGCATGCCGAAGGCCCCGAAGTCACAGGGGATGCAAAAGACCCCCACTTGAGACCCTGGAGAACCACTCTCGAGAGTTAGATGAGACACGACTGCCCTTGGGGCAGCTTCATGTGTGAACCAGGCCTGGCATAGAAGGTTCTGGGGCCGGGATCGACTCCAGCCAATCAGAATTCTTTTAAAGAATGCCAAGTCGGATGGGCCAGTGGTTGGATTCAGTATAAAGTATAAATGCCTCGGAGCAGGGGTCATTTCGTAGAAAAAGAGCTAGGGGAACTCATTAGCATAACTCATTAGCATATGCCACACCTAGAGATGTGAAGGCCCGGGAAAAAAACGTTTTTTTTCCGTTTTTTTCCTGAAGGCTTTTTTGTTTTTTTCCGAAAAATTGGAAAAATTGAAAAAAGAAAAGAAAAGAAATTGATTATGGAACGTTTTATTTTAACATGATGACTAAAATATTTTAAGACAAGGTCGGGGCTTCGTCATGTGCCCTGCCCCCTGCACCTCACCTAGGGGAACTGTGTTCCCCCGCGTTCCCCCCCGAAATGACCTCTGCCTCGGAGAGCGTTACGCTCTGAGAGTCAACATCTCCTGGTAATCCCTGGCCCAAAGGACGTCCGCCTAGCCTTGACCTAGCCACCTGGTGGAACCTGCTCCCTACTGAGATCAGGGCCCTGTAGGGGCTATTCAATTCCGCAGGGCCTGCAAGACGGAGCTCTTCCCTCAGGCCTTTGGCTGAGGCAGCGGGCGTCCACATATCCCCCCCTCCCCGGTCGCTGCCTCCCACCTGCTGATTACCGGCCATACCTAGTTACATCAATGGGCTGGATTCTCCCTACAGCGAGCGTGACTATTGATTTGATACGTTTTAATGTGTTTTAAATTTTATTGTATTTATCAAAACGTTGTGACCCGCCCTGCGCCCGTTTACGGGATGGGCGAGATATAAATGCGAGAAACAAATAAACAAACAAACAAATAAAGTGGATTCATTTGGTCATCAGAGACCAGTAGTGTGCTGGCCCCAGTCAGCGTTATCTGTAGCTTAGTAAAACTGCTCTGTATCTTTAAGACTTGTCGCACCCTGGGAATTGGAGTCCACAGTTAGGGGTCCCAGAAGCTTCCCTCTGACTGGCTCATTAAGAGTAATTTCCTGAGCTCAGAGGGGCAAAGATAGGGGTTTTATTGTTCTTTTCCGTTTCTTTGTCCATCAACCCCTTCTGCAAGGAGAGGGGAAGCCCATCTCTTTCTCACCACGGCTATAGAACTGACCTAGATCACAAGATGTCACTTTCCACTCAGCTATCTGGTCGATTGTGAGTAAATGATCTTCTGAATGCGTGTGAAGTTAAATAAAGATGATTTAAGCTCTCCTCAGTGGCCGTGCGTTGACTCACACCTAGAGAGCGTTGGCTTAGCACAGCTTGCGCTGGACAGGAGAAGTAGTATGCACTGCGGCAGCCCCTGCGCATCACTACAGCTTGGAACAGGGCTTGGGCAAAGAGGCACCCCGACAAGATGTCACTTTCCACCCAGCTATCTGGTCGATTGTGAGTAAATGATCTTCTGAATGCGCGTGAAGTTAAATAAAGATGATTTAAGCTCTCCTCAGTGGCACCCCACTTCCCATAGAGGGCTCAATCTTTTGCGAGGGCCAAGACGGGAGCGCCAGTTGACGGAGTTATGACTCCTAGAGCCTGCCAGCCTCTGGCGCCAGTCAAAGGAGAAGGGATTCGTGTTTCTGCTAGCTGCCGAACTCCTAGCCAAGGCAGAGAGGCCATAAATATGGAGAAGGTGTTCTGCTCGAGCCCAGACTGCCGAAGCGGCTGAAAATTCCAGGGTTGCAAATAATTCATGAGTCTGGGCCTCCAAGCGGGCGGGCCAAGCTTCAAACGAAGGCTCGGCATGGTTTTCTTGGCAGGGGGTACAGCCAGAGGAGGAGGAGGAGGGCACCAACAGGACGAGATCTTTACTAATGCAACAGACCGTGGGGCGGGGGAGAACACAAGGAAAGCGCTCGACTCTCAAACTGCTGCCTGACCTCTTCGGTGAGACGCTTCCGGCCATACTTCCGGTTGGGCCGCAACCCTCTACGTCTGGAAGCCCTTGTCCCCGAAGTCTGTTGTCACATTAAGCTGATGGGATGCCAACCCTGCCATTTTGCGCATTTCCAGAAGGTGGCAGTGCAGGTCTCTCCTAGGGCCACCCAGGGCTAGCGACAGACCAAAGGGCTCCCCGGGCGGGAGTGTCTACAGTAACCCCCCCCACTCTGTTCAGCTTTGGAATTCCCCCCCCTTCAGGGCCGTTCTCACTCACTAGGCGTACTAGGCGCTCGCCTAGAGTGTGCCAGCCTTTAGGGGCGCCAAACTGGCACACACACACACACACCCCGCTGTCCTGGTTCAGCTGCAAACACTACTGAGTTTTACACAAGTTATGATCTTTCTGATGATACCAACACCAATTCCACCAAAGAACGTAGCCCTCTGGGCACAGAAGGGTCACTCAGCTGAGTCAAAGAAGAATCTAAGTAGGGGGGCTATTACATAAGGACACTCAAGTTGCAACTGACTTATGGCAACCCCAGCAAGGAACTGTCAAGGCAAGTGAGAAGCAGAGTTTGTTTGCGAGTGCGAGTGCCTTTCTTTGCAGAGTCTTCCTTGGTGGAAGCCAAATGTGCAAAGCAGGCAAAGTTACAAAAGGAAAAGTGATGGTTAAGAGCGTGAGTGCCAGGGGAACGGAAGGTCCGGGGTACAGATCTAATTAATGGGTCGGAGCCATGGTGGGCGCACGGAGGGGCGCCAGAAGGGATCCTCGCCTAGGATGCAAAATAAGCTGGGGCCAGTCCTGCCCCCCCTTTTTTAAAAAATTGCAGTCACAACCCATTTCCCAATTTCTCATGTTCGATCCATTTCAGCAATGATCATTCTTCATGTTTGGATTCGTGGACCTTTGCCTATTTGCGCCACAGATAAGCAAATTGATTCTCATGGAAGCTTTTAACAACGTGCTAAGAGAACTGGAATAGATTAATGGGCGGGGGGGGGAAATCAAACCAACTTAGAGTGAGCCAGAATTAAATCGCATTCCAAGGGACGACAGTGCTTGAAAGTGGGTGGACCAACGACGCTGGTTCATCGAGGTCAGTCTGGTCAAGTCAGAGAGGCAGGGCCTCCGGGTCTTTCACATCACCGTCCTTTCAACTGGAGGTGCTGGGGATTGAACCCAGGGCCTTCTGCATGACAAGCCGGCCAGTGACATCAGAAAAGTGGCTCAACGAGATTTCATTTAACTCCTTTGTACTCCACTTTCCTCCTGCCCACCTAGCCGTTCGAAAGCAAGACATTGGAAGTAGATAAATAGGTACCACTTCGGTGGGAAGGCAACAGCGTTCCGTGCGCCTCGGTGTTTAGTCATGCCGGCCACATGACCATGGAAACGTCTTCGGACAGCGCTGGCTCTTCGGCTTTAAAACGGAGATGAGCACCGCAACCCTAGAGTCGGATTCGACTGGCTTTCGAGCAAGGGGAACCTTTACCTTTACTTACTCCACTTTCCTACCCGATGGCATCCCAAAGCAGCATACATCATCCCCCTCCGTTTCATCTTCACAACAGCCCCGTGAGGTAGGTCAGACTGAGTGAGTGGGACTGGCCCAAGGTCACCCAGCGAGCTTCTGTAGCACAAGTGGGGATTTGAAGCAGGATTGCCTACGTACTAGCCCAACATTCTTTTAATTTTGTGTGCGTGTGTGTGCGCGCGCTTGCATGCCTGGAAGTCATGGCGACTTCTGGCAACCCCTACTGGGGGGTTGGATGTTTCACGGAGGTGGCTTGATTGTCGGCCTCTGCATCCTGAGTCCTGGTATTCCGCAGAGGTCTCCCTTCCAATTAGTTACCAGGGTCGGCCCTGCTTAGCTTCCGAGATCTGACGGGATCGGGCTTGGCTGGGCTATTCACGAGTCCAACATTCTTAACCGCTACACCACACTGGTTCGGTGTGGCACTTCTTTATACCCCAGAATTCATTGCCCACCCCCACAAATCCATTACAAAGAAGAAGAAGAAGATTGGATTTATATGCCGCCCTTCGCTACCCGAAGGAGTCTCAGAGCGGCTTACAAACTCCATTCCCTTCCCCTCCCCACTGCAGACACCCAGGGAGATAAAAGATGAAGAAGGGATTGGATTTATACACTGCCCTTCACTACCCAAAGGAGTCTCAGAGCGGCTTACAATCTCCATTCCCTTCCCCTCCCCATCACAGACACCCTGTGAGGTAAAAGAAGAAGAAGAAGAGATTGGATTTATACCCCGCCCTTCACTACCCAAAGGAGTCTCAGAGCAGTTTACAAACTCCTTTCCCTTCCCCTCCCCACAACAGACACCCTGTGAGGCAGGTGGGGCTGAGATAACTCTTGACAGAAACTGCTCTTTTTCAAGAACAGCTCTGACAGAACTATGGCTCGCCCAAGGTCATCCAGAAGAAGAAGAAGAAGAAGAGATTGGATTTATACCCTGCCCTTCACTACCCAAAGGAGCATCAGAGCGGCTTACAGTCTCATTTCCCTCTCCCTCCCCACAACAGACACCCTGTGAGGTAGGTGCGGCTGAGAGAGAGCTCTCTCGAGGACGGCTCCTGAGAGAACAGCTTGGCAAGAACTGGTGACTGACCCAAGGTCACACCAGCAGCTGCATGTGGAGGAGTGGGGGAACCAAACCCCGGTTCTCCCAGATCAGAGCCCGCGCTCCGAACCGCCACACCAAACTGGCTCTCAGAACAGGAGCCATTTCTGAAAATGAGTTCGACAGGCATAATTTCCACAAGCTGAAAAACTTTCTCGGGACATATTATTTACATCCTTGAGAAAAGGGGAAAGTGAGGTTGTGGGATTGATTTGTCATCTCCTGGGCAGGGAGACTGGGGGGAACTTAATTCATGCCCATTCTGTGGTTTGTAATCTCCCAGCAGTGGGGAAATGCGTCTGATCCTTCGGCGGCCTGAAGCAAAGAGGTAATCTCTGTTGGTCCCAAACTTTGGCCGTTGTCACTAAGAACTGGAATTGCCATGCTCCGGGCCAGCCTGTGATGCTGGAATTCTGGGACTGGAATGGCAGATAACGGTTTTTGGCTAAAAAAACAGCCAACTGTGAGGGAGGGGGTCTTACAGATAAAGAAGAAGAAGAGATTGGATTTATACCCCACCCTTCACTTGGAGTCTCAGAGCAGCTTACAAACTCCTTTCCCTTCCCCTTCCCCTCCCCACCACAGACTCCCTGGGAGCCATGCTCCCTCTAAGCTGTGGAGTCTTGTGAGCAAAAATTCTACGTGTTGAGCTACTGACATTCAAGTTGTGAGCGAGCAATTTGGCTCCTGCATAAATTTAGTTTGCTCTGGAGTCATCCTTCCTGAGCTGAGACAGAAAAGTGTAAGCCAGAGTCTAAAAAACGGTGAGCTAGCTCACGCCAGCTCAGTTTAGAGGGGACACTGCCTGTGAGGTCGGTGGGGCTGAGAGAGCTCTGACAGAAAATGCTCTTTCAAGGGCAGCTCTTGTCAGAACGACGGCTTGCCCAAGGTCACTCCAGCAGTGGCCAGTGGAGGAGTGGGGAATCAAACCTGTTTCTCCCAGATTAGAGTCCACGCACTTAACCACTACACCAAACAAGATGAAGGTGTTGGTGCAGGGTGGGCGGTTTTCAAGGGCAGCTCTTGTCAGAACGACGGCTTGCCCAAGGTCACTCCAGCAGTGGCCAGTGGAGGAGTGGGGAATCAAACCTGTTTCTCCCAGATTAGAGTCCACGCACTTAACCACTACACCAAACAAGATGAAGGTGTTGGTGCAGGGTGGGC